CGTACGTACATACATACATACATGCATACATGCATGCATACGCACATACTTGTAGAGACGCGCATGCATACAAACAAAACAATGCGCTCTCCTTTCCAGCGCAGTATTCCACGGCATGGCCGCCAATCCCTTTGGCCCACCTTGATACCCCTGGACTCGAGGAACTTCTTGGCCTTGGCCCCACCCTTGGGCGGGGCGGTGGGCAGCAGCTGCTTCCCGGAGTGCACCAGCGTGAGGGCCTTGCCGGCGTAGGCCTCCACCACCTCAGCCGCCGCCTCGACACCGGACGGACCGCCGCCCACAACCACAATGGACTTCGCAGCTCGGATGGCTTCGTTGTAGACCTTGTGAGCCACGTGGGTCGGTGGGTCGGTGCGTGTGTCAGCTTGTGATGGATTGATTAGCACGTCAGTATGTAGCAACTCAGTCCGTGGACAGATGAGAACAATGGCCGGGGGTTGACAAATCCGTATTCTTTTTCAAAAAAGCATAGATGTATAGCTACTACAGCTTGGACGCTTTGCTTTGGTTGATTTCTTAAGATGTAGAGAGAAGTGGTTCATGTCGTACATGGACAGTCGAAGCAGGTACGACAGGGGGTATGGAATTGTATTCGCGACGCGGGAGTGCGCTGTGTGCAGTACCTTGAGCTCCGCCAGTCGCTGTTCCCGGGTGACAGAGGCGGACGACTTGAAGGCGTCACTGTACGACGATCCCGTACAGATGGCCGCGTAATCGAACGTCAGGGTCTCGCCTGTGCTCAGAAGGGCCTCCTGAGTTTGGGTTGAGGTTCGCGGTTCGGGGGGTTTAAAAATCATTTAGTAAGCTTCCACCAGAAAACTATTGACCAGGCATTCTAAGGATCTGAGGGGGTAAGGAGGTTCAGGGAGTGGGGTGATTACTGGCATCGGAGGATCGGCGGCACCTGGGAAGAGGTCGGTCATGTGGTAAGGCATTAAAACGTATCGGGCCGTCACATGAGACGCCGCAGGAAGATAGCACAAGCAGGAAGATAGAGCAAGATATGATTTTTTGTCTCTTACCTTGGGCGCGAGGCGCGTTACTGTCGCTTGCACGACCCGGCCGATGTTGGGAATCTCCTGGAATCCAGAATCCGGAAGCCGTACGAAGGAGCAATGGACGAGGAAAAAATGGCAGAGAAAGAGTGAGAGCTGTATGTCACTGTAGCAACACGCCTGGTTTTGTTATTCTTGTAGCCGACATAACGGTAGAGATTTGACTAATAGCCAGTTCACATGCTACGTTACGTTTAGACTTTTTGGGAAAAGTGGTCGGTTCGGACATGGTAACGGTACGTTACCGGTAAAGTGTACGAAAAGTCTAAAGTGACCGAGGGGGTGAATTTCGTCAAACGCTGACCCCTCGTACCGTTACCTGAATTGCATCGCCAATTTCGCGAGTTATAACAAATGGCCAAGCCCAATCGCTTATAAAGACCACATATTTGACAAATTGTGCGCGCTTTGCACTCCGACCAAATTTCTAGTCACACCGCTGCAGTTTATTTTGGAAAATGAACAAGGACAACGCCGCTCGTGTTGTTCGACCGCTCACGACCGCTTACATAGCCAATATGTAACCCATTGTAGTATCAGGGCTGAAGCCACCCGCGAAACGGCAAGTCGGCCGCACTTCCGGCGGCATGGGCCGCGCCGCGTCGGCCCACACGCTCAAACTCTGCCACTGAGCATCGAACATATCTTCAAGGTTATCAAAAATTTCATCCATCGCGACCGCTAGGGCAAACGCCATCGCGGCTCGCGCGGGATGCAGTGCCATTGCAGTAGGCAGGGCTGCCAATAACCCTTCAATTATATTTTGCGATTCTAAGGGGATGTGCTGAAGTTTTGGCCATTGCAAGACATAAAATGGAGATGGTTTACTCAGCTCGCGCCAACGAACACAACGTCGTCGTAATGTCCCATGTGAACTGGGTGACTTTTTCAGGCCCACTTTTCCCAAAAAGTTTTCGCAACGTAACGTAGCATGTGAATCCAGTATAACGAACATCCCCAACGTCCAAAGTGACAACGCTCACGTGCCGTGATGTCGCTTTTAATTTTCTAGGGAGCACGTGCTTTAGGCCATTATTATGCGGACCTTCAAGCTAATGATGGCGCGCGACGCCACACTCTCGTCCACGATGCTCCGAATGGTCGCCCAGGTGATTTCCAGGTATTCTTTCCTGGAAAAACAAATATACAACATGGTGAAAGGAAAGAAACAGTTGGGAAACACAAGGGGCCTTGCGAAAGTAGCAGCTGTCTCTGGGACCATCTGGAGTTTGTAGGGCATTCTAGGGAAGCACACGAGACAAAAGCAGAGAACGGTGATGCTATTGGCGTTAGTCCAGTAACTTTGACTTACGGATCGACAATGGTAACGTCCGCAAACCCGCTGACTTTCGTCGCCAAGGTCACACCGGCAAAACCGGCTCCAATGACCAGCAGACGGGGTTTCTTGTCGGTCGACATTTCAGGCTCTGTGCTCGTCAGCTGTAACCGAGCTTGGCTAATGGAAGATATTGCTTTCAATCACCAGGCAAACTTCTTATCAGCTTTAATTATTAATTCTTTGGGAACATAAAAATATTATTATATGTCAAAATGTAAGCGATCGCTTCTTTATCTGGATACCAGCCGGATTACTTGGACTCGGACTGTGATTACGCGCGTACGACGAAACAGGAAGGTAAATTATGCATTTACGGTGGTATAACCTAAGCCGTCTGTTGCAGGAAGCTCTGTTTTTAAGCTTTCCTTTGATGGCGTGTTGGCGTCAATATTCGTGACATGCATCAAGGTGCAGAAACACTTTCGCCGATTCAGGCAACAACCAGTCCCATTAAATATCTGACTATGCGAGTTCAAGTCACATGAATATGTCATACAGCGAGGTAGGCAAGAAGGGCCAAAGCAGTCGCACTTAGCTGAGCGGCTCTAACTACATCCCCTCTGCGTTTGCGTCCGCTGCCCCAAATCCTTCTTAACGAGAGGCTATTCGGCAAATACCGCTTTGGCCTCGACCTCACGGCCTTGACATGAAGCACTTCGTCATCTATTAACTTCTGACCGCGAGAAACCGTTGGTCGTTGCCGGCACACATCGAGTGATTTCCGGTCCCCACCGGTCGTACGCAGTGATGCACAAGGTCTCTCAATCATCTCTCCCCCTGGCTTTTAATTGTCTTTTGAGAGAGGATCACGGCCCTGTAGATGGCGGCCCCCCTCACGCTGGGCGCACATAAGAGGCATGCGCTGCCGCCGCGCCGGCTTCCCCACCGTTCGCCTCCCCTACAAAATACCTTTCCTTCCTTCCGTCCTTTTTGGCTCCCCGGACTCGGGACCAGAGACCAAACGCAAACTGATACTGCTTTGATTCTGTTGAGACGATCCGCATAACAGTAGAATCCCGTGCACCAGTCGCAGAGTGCTGATCCTGCGCTTCATTCAGCGCGTGCCCCAGGGCATACATATGCTCATACCGTGCTGCGCACAACCTAGGGTAGTAGGGTGCATGGCCGCCGGTCGCCGCCAGCTGTCCGTGACGACCTTTGCACCATACGATGAGCCATCATCTGGTGGTGGTCTCGATCTGCTATGTGGGCTCTGCCGCCGGCTTACGAATTTGCCAAGTAACATAGAACCAAAAGGGGCTCCTAATCCTTTTGAGAAACAGAAACTCATAGTATCTGTATATTTTGCATATTCGGATAATGGAATTTTATTTTGGAGCGAAAAAAGGCCAAACGAGAGGCAGACGTCTAAAATGCGTGTTCCGGTCACATCCGTTGTTACGAGTTTTGATAATTTATACAAAGGCACGTTCAAAAGGTGTGGCGTGGCAGAGAGACATGAAGACGAGGCTGCCTCCCGAAGTGCAAAACACATCTTACCGTAAACTGGTCAGGTATACGGCCCTGTCGGCACTCCATCCAGGGCACATGCAGGTGCCCTGGATGGATTCAACGACAAATCGGACGATGACATATGTCATCGCGCGATTTGCCGTTGAATTGTCTGCCGTTAGCAGCAATCTAGCCAAACCCTTCACAGCAGTTCCAACAGGCCGACCGCCGCCTCCCGCAGCCACAGGTCTTTCAGCGAGCAGGCCGTACAGTGTCGTACAGTATTAGGAATGTAGCTTTAAAGGATGCTTTAAAGGCCAGACCTGCTTGGCAAAGCGCGCGTTGTTGACACTGTACATACATACACATTGACATTGTGGACCATAACATAACATAACCGTGATGGAAACCGGAGTAAAGAGTAGGCAGAATACAGACATTTCGCGGGAAGGTCGTATGTGTCCTCGAAGACACAAGAAAGCTCAAATCCCGCCTGGCAAATCGCCTGGAAACCGCGCAAGAATAAAGAAAGAAAGGCCGCACACACAGGCGCCATCTTATGAACGCAAAGACGACTTTCCACAAATCCAGTGGAAAGCATTGCGAAAAAAAGCAAGTGGTAAATGTACTGCAGCAAACCGTACAAATCACGACGAAGTCTACCTGAAATTCCCATGTCCAGGATGAGTGGAAAGTCCAATCATCTAACGCGCCGCTCACAAACTCCCAGACGGATTTGGCTGATGTGCACTACTATACGGGTATATTATGGCTAGGACAATATATACGGCTACTAGAGTTATTACTTGTCCTCGGATGCATGTTCGGACGCCCGCCCTAAATTACTTGTACAGTGCACACTACACACACACTACACACACACACACACACACACACTACACACTACACACACACATATACACACAGAAAACAAATATGTCCTAATCACTTGATTATATGCCCTGCCAACTGAAGTAGGAGGTCCGCAAGGGACTCGAGAACGGCCACGCACCCGCACCCGCACCCGCACCCCGCCAACCCGCATATGCAACATGTCATGTGTTTCATCCAAGCCACTGCAGGCCTAACCACGCGATTGCGGCCCTGGCCAGGTCATTGGAGATAAACAAATGCAGACACTCCGCAATCTGACATATACATATGAACGGCGAATTTAATACATCAATGAACATAAGTCGTAAGAAAGCTGAAGGGCTCGCGCAGCGCCCTTTACATATCACATAGGGTCACGCACCCCCAACCATGTAAGACGCACACACACACATATCATATGCCGACTGTACGTGCACAGCCGGAATGATGCAGTACACGGCCTTCCTGCCGTATGCTCGTGCCGTACAATGTACACCCCCCCGGAATCCTGCGCACGTGTCATACAAAGGAAGATCGCATCTTTACCTCCGATCTAAAGCAAGTGACTGACGACAAAAGGGGCTGCGCTGCGCTGTACATGATAAAAATGAATAAACTGCGTTGTTCTCAGAAGAATCATTCAATATCGAGGAGAAGCCGGGAAGTGTCGAGCCATGGAAACCCTAGAAGCCGGGAAGTGTCGAGCCATGGAAACCCTAGAAGCCGGGAAGTGTCGAGCCATGGAAACCCTAGAAGCCGGGAAGGGTCGGGCCATGGAAGTAGTCGAGAGGAATGCACTCGCCTCGCTCGTGTCACCCTGCCGCGGAGCGAGCGGGTGGGGACCAAATCCAAGCAAGGCCTCGCTGCTGGCCTTTGCTGTTGCCGGGACCACCCCATTCCACAAGACGGCAGTCCCCCACAACCGAACACACATGAAATCCGTGGCCTTCCCTACCCATCTACCCACACAGAGCCAACTCGCGCTCGGAGCCGACCCTTTCATGATGAACTAGGCGGAACCTATATAGGAATAAAAGATCGACATTGAAAATACATCCGCAGGCAATAACGCGGCGGATGTATTTCATGCCCGCTGTTGTGCGCCGCTCACCAAATGCACGGCAATCACCAACACTCAATTGCTGCTCGTTGCCCTACTTGCACCTGTAAGCCTCTGATCCCACCCCAGCCTGCACATCAGACGCCTTTACGGCAGTACGGCAGTACAGCCTAGATGGCTGTCCGGCCCGCAGCTTGAAGGATCTTCTTAATGCTCACCGCCCTGGGGGGGTGGGGTAAGTGGGGTCCGTCCGCAGAGAATAAGACATATGGAACTAAATTTGGGCTGGACTAATCCGCCCAGTGAGGATGCGGTTAAGTAATTTCACCTTTCCTCCTCAGATTACTTTGCGCGAGTATCTCAATACGGCCGGTGCTGCCATCATCATCGCATCCTCGCTTTCCCTTTTAAAAGGGAAAGTGGCAATGACAACTAGTCTCGCTTACTCTTTCTCGTCGCCACCTAATCACCGTAATCGGCGAGTGTTAAGTACGTTCTCGCAAAGTGCAAAGTAGTCTGAACGACCGAACGACCAAAGACCGTGGGAAACACGGGAACGACACCCGCACCACGTGAAGAGGGCCCTACATCCCGGCAACCCACCATTACAACACCCCGTACAACGCAACCCCATGGTTGCAACCCCCCCAACCTGCCTTCAGCGCACCTGAACTCCTCTTCTCTGTACCAGGGAATCGAGTTGGCCAGAGAAAAAATCTGCTTCAGATCGGGAGGCGCTTCAGCGACGTAGTCATTGAAGCCCGGTGCAGCGCCGAACCGTTGATCGGTCTCGTGCACCTTGACAACGCAACGAGGGGGGGTACACGAGGCGGCACAGCGAGCGAGGGGAAGACAACCCACAGGCGAGAGACAAGTCGACAAGGCAACGAGAGAGAAAGGGCACTCGGTGCTCTGGCCAGGCCAGGTGGCAATGACCCTGCTCGCTCGGCAAAGCCCATGTGAAAAAGCAAGAGCCACCCTGCCTCTTACTCTCAATTTTCCCCAAAGCGCTTCCCTGGGCCTAGGTCACCTGGCGCCTACAAGCGGCACACGGCTGTGTGTGTGTGCCGGCCGGCCGTGGCCGTGGTTTACGTGGTTTACGGCAAACACCCGTAAGGGAGACCCTGCATGCGTATGTACGTCTGTCTGTCTCTGTCTGTCTCTCTGTCTGTCTGTCTGTATGCATGTGTTGCCTTACTCTGCCTAAGTCGCCTTACTCTCCGGAGGTGTCAGGGGCCGATACCTGGAGCTCTGAGGGCCCCCAAGAGACAGTCTAGTGCACATATGCACGACACTACAACACGTGTATACTGCTACACGTACAAAGCATGCTACCACTGATACGGACACACAGCATGTGGCGGTATGGACAGTACGGTATATGACGGTACGGCACTTGTACGTACCAGAATGACGGGCTTGCCCAACGCCAGCGCCTCCCTCGCTTCGAGTTGTACAAATGGCCGTGTGAACACACCCTGAGGACCGCACGCCACATGTGCACGGGACGCGAGCACAGATGAGCGATATCTTGTTATAGTATTCGGCATAGCTGCTTCCCTTCATTTGTAATGTATTTCGTAGGAAGAGCTCCGTGCCTGGAGCCACATGCATGGCTACATGATGCTCATGCTCCTCCTTTGCCCGTTCTCTTAACCCAAATTTTGCAAGTTACCTCACAGCCGCATGGCGCGTGGAGGAAAAGCGTACAGAGCGCTGGAATGGCTTGAGTTTAAACTTCGCGTGGCTGAATTCTGCACACATCACAATCTTGATAGCACATCAAGCTTGATAGCGCCTCAGTGCGACAGCTGAAACGGAAACAAAGCGCGCCCGACGGACTCACCACGCGGGGAGCGACGGGGACAACTCCAGACACCGGCTTTCCGTCTGGGGTAGGTTAAAAATCGCTCCAGGAGACTTTCCTACTTCCTCAACCCCACTACGAACGCTCCCTACCCACCATTCCGCTCAGACCGCTGCACCGGTCTCTTTTTGCGTGCCCCGGAAAGCTGCTCAAGGCGCCCCAGCAGGCCCCACCAGCGACAACACACCTTCGTGAGGAACACCAAATAGTATTTGGATCCCGCTACGCCTCGCCGCATGCCGGCCTCCGTGGCGTCCTCGTCCTTGTCCAGCCAGCACCGTAGACCGGGACTCGCAGACTCGAGCAGCGCCTTCAACGACATGACTGTGTTGCCTGCGTTGCCCTAAGCGTTCACCCACACACCCCACAGCAGGCGAGGCACGGTAAGGCAACCGCAAGGTGAGCCCGGAAAGAGGGCTAAGCAAGCATTTTTTAAGGTAAGATCAAGGGGCCGTTGGCCATGTTCGCGAGGTCCATGATGCGAGAGCATACATCGACGTGCGTGACGCAGGGTTTAGCCAGCCACATAGGGTTTAGCCATGAGATTTAGGATCAGCGGTAGGGTTTAAAGGTCAATGACTTAGATTGCTGGAACGAGGAATATGAAGAGGGAGAACACCGAACGTGAAATGACGACAGAGTCTAAAGACAAAGGTCTAGGAGAAGGGAAAACTAGAAAACTGTGCAACTCAACCTTCCTCCTTCCCTCCACCTTCCTCCTTCCTCCTAGTTCCAGCCCCATGCCCAAACCCGCAAACAGCCATGTTAAGTCTTTTTAAGAAGCGGTTTTTCGTCTTAATAAAGGGGTTTGACATCTTAACATGTAATTCTACCTCCTTATGGCCTCACTTGGAAATGCGACAGAAAGATGTCCCAGGACCCGTCAGCTGACTTGATGAAGGCGGGGTTGGCCATCTTGTCTACCACCGCCGTGAAGCGCCGCAAGTCCACTGTTGTTCCCCTCTCCCCAGGTTTGAGCCACACGATGAGGGACCACTGCTCCTCCACGGGAATGTCCTCCTCTTCCTCCACCATAGCTGCCGTCTGCTGGAGATGATGATAATGGTGGTGGTGGTGGTGGCGATGATGGTAGTGATGGTGATGATGATGGTGGTAGTATGATGGTGATGATAACGATGGTGATGACGGTGATAGTGACAGTGATGTGAAAGAGGATATGGCAGAAGAAAAACGAGTGGGAGTCTTGGCCGGTCTTAGATGGCCTTAGGTTGGTCTTAGGTTGGTCTTAGGCATAAATTGGCGTGGGGGATCACGACGCCGGGGCAACGGGTGGTGGTAATGATGAAAGCGCAGCCACAATCCACGGGTTCTCACCAGTGCATGGGTGTGGTGGGAGTAGCCAAATGACGTTGCATCACAGTTGGCTCTTGCGGCACCCTGCGGCTGCCTCGTGGGCCGCCGCACGGTCGCTGCTGTCCCTGTCGGCTCCGCGCTGCCTACCGGCCGTGTGAGGTGCTGGTTGGGCAGTGAAATTGCAAAGTCCCACTGAAGGTCCAGATCGTTGAACACCTGCACCGGGGGGTTTTGTGGGTGAGCTGTTCACGTTGGGTGAGAGCTGTTCACGTTGGGTGAGAGCTGTTCACGTTGGGTGAGAGCTGTATGCCTGGGAGATGTCACTGGGAGCCTTGCTGGGTGCGGTGGTGAAAATGGCCTGCGGTGGTGTTTGATGAAGGTTTGCTTGAGGCGCCGCGTAGCGTGTTGGGCAATTGCATGTGGGTCACGCACATAGCTCGAGCCGGCTCGTTATTCACCTTGCCCAGCGCAAATCAATCAAATTCATACATCAGATCGCAGTACTTGAGATGCTGTAAGATAGGTCAACGGGAAAGTGGTAATCCTAATCGGTATTATGTATGACCCGTGGGTCGCGACAGCCTGATCCTGACACGACGCGGCGGCAGGCACCGTCCAGTGAGGAGACGAAACGAGCGCAACTTCCCCGAGGCCTGCTAAGAGTGCCGCTAAGCGTGCCGCTAAGAGTCAATAGGCGATGTGGGTCAGCGACCCCACAGACCGCAAGAATCCCAATCCCTTACTCCCATGCCTGCGCGTTTTGGTGTTGCGTTTCTGTTGTTGTTGTAAGAAATCCGCTAACGTAACGTAACGTTCATGCGCTGTCAGCGTGTGCACAAGCCCCATCCGGAGCCATCCGCCGCAAATCGTATGGCTCGTGGAACTCGTTACATCGGTGGCCGAGTAGCTCGATCGGGAAACCAGCCAAACACGACCTGACCCAGATGGCGGCAAAACAGCGATGTGGGTCAACTCACCTTGGTCTTCCCAATCCAAGCGGCAAACGGACCTACGTTGAGGGTCGTGTAGAGACGCAACGAAAGGGGGGAAAGTACAGGAGGTTTTCAAGGAGAACTGTATCAAGGATGAGGGAAGGAGGGATGGGGGAATGAACATACGGCTTGCGAGATGTTCGGTTAGGGAATGCATTTACTACTTGGTGCGGGCCCGAAACCCTCCGGAAGTCTTGTTTATGTGACGATGTATTTGTCCAGACGCCTACCCCAGATACTCGACCCCATCGACGCCGGCGCCAGATAATCGTTACATGTGCTTACCGATCTCCCAGTTCTTCAGGGCTCCTTCAAACGCGTTGTTGAGAAGCTGCTCCACGGGCCCTAAGTCAAAAACAGAGAACAAGACAGCCCATCCGGTTCAGGTCAGCGCATCGTGTTTCGGGGGAGAAAGCTAATCCAGACTGGATGGTCGTGCCGCAGTTGTGTTGACGGCCGGATGGTGGGCAAGATGAGCAACCACTGCAGCTCTGCAGGACAGCAGACTGTTCGCTGAGATCCGGAAATTCATGTCGATGAGGGGAGTTTTACACAACAGATGGCTTGGTGCTGTTTATGGAAATGGTAACTTGGTAGCCTGGTCATAACCTGGTAACCTGGGTAACCTGCGGAGCGGGGCTTGCACCATGGCTTGCTACACTTTTCATTACCCACAACATGTAAGCAAGAGGATAAACGATACGAAAATTTCATGGTCATGAGGTCCACAAACCCACCCGCATAGGCACCATATGCCGGAGACTTGCCGCTGCCATCAACGCTCGGATGGTTCGCAGGATCAGTCATGTCGACGCGCTCGCAGACTTGCCAAACATGGTTGCTGACTACCTTGATTAAAGGTGCCCTCCAGTTCTGTGGGAGCTGGTCTTTGTCAAGCTGCTCCATTCGGCGGTACCGGTACTAACAACCTCCCGGTAATCGGAACAAGCTGTTGTCCAACGCTGTTCGGCCGGTGGTAGTTCTCAAGGATAGCCGTGATTCGCCACGCAAAGAGATCGCTGCAGCTGTAGGTCGTGGTCACTTGCCTGGTCCAGGACCGCACAAAGGCGACGAATGCTCAGCGGCTGCAATACCTGAAAATATTATTTAGCCGGATATTACTTTGAAAAAAGATTAAGGTTTTGTCTATGCGCTTTGTACATACCCCGGTTAAAGTTCGCAGCTGGCTTTTGCTTCTAACCGCCGCCTTTAAGACTAACTCTCGGATAATATGAAAAATATCTACTGTAAGCGACTCCGTGTACCCATAAAATGTATCACAGCGTTCTAAGGGTGTCATTATGTCGCTGCGGAAGTTGCAACTTCCGTTGCATAAGCCCCTGTCAGTTAACACCAACTACTTGACCAATACCAGCTGTCAAACTCAGTTAATGCCAAGTTACAGCACATAGACGTGAATGCGTGCACTGAAAGCATGATGCTCTTAAATTTTATCCACAGGGTAGGGTTTATGGCTTGCTTGGCCTCAAATCCTTCTTTGTGAGGGTTTTTCAAGAATTGGAGCTGTAAAACATCCCCGCAGGTCACCCACAACATTGAATTTCCATTGTAATATAATTATTATAAAATATCCCTAGAAATTTGAAGAATATTTTGATAGGCGTATCAGGTTGACCCATGGGCCTTTTCTTGGCCAGAGCTCTTTAACTATGGAAGGCTCTAAGTGTTGTCGTGCTGCTTAGCGCCTAGGAAAGATGATCAAATAAAACTGAGAAAGACCTGAGGAAGATCCCGGGGCTAATGGACGGAACGACAGCCAATCCTCTTATCTTAATCCAATAGGGCACAATCCTCTTCGCATGGATCCATGCATGTCTTTCGTGGGACGATGGCCCTCGCATCATCCACCTGCCTCTGACCGCATAATTTGAAGTTTAGGAGATGTCGCACTGCACTTTGCAGAACACTTCGTAGGATTATTAGCTTGAAATGTCGCAGCTGCCAAATGTTCTCATTTAAGGAAGCTGAAAGACTGGTCTTGAATGTAAAACGAGACCGAGCTCCTGGCCTGGATACCGCAAGCAGCTTTTCCATTAAGAGGCTCAAAGAGCAAAGAGCTTCAAAGAGCAAAGCCGTCTCCGTTTCGGCCTGAGAGCAACCAACATGCCTCACATGGCCATCTTCGATTGGGCTCGCAGACTGAGGAGCCATAGAGGTAAGAAATCCTGTGGATTATAGTAACTAGGATTCTGCTGAAAGCTCTCTTGACGCGGTTTGGCGTCGGCCGTCGGGCCGGAAGAAATCGTGGTTGACCCGGCGCTCGCTGTTCTTACTCTTCTCCGCACGCAATGGGTGCCTGGCGGTCTTTTCACCGCGTGGCTATCGGCCAATTTCTTTACCCCTTGCCAAAGCGGCAGCGGCCAGATCGCGTCAAATCCTTCATGTCCTAGGGTCCAGATGCCTAAATACAGTCGCAAGAGGCTCCCGCTGCACTCACCAGCCCTCTTCACTCCTTACGACTTTTCTTATCAAAGCACTGCTTGCTTATTTTATTAAAGCACAGCTTCCTTGTTTTATCAAAGCACAGCTTGTTTATTTTATCAAAGCACAGCTTGCTTATTTTTATCAAAGCACAGCTTGTTTTTCTCCCCCCACAGCACGTGCTCTTTTGGTTTTCCAGCATCTCAGCTCCACGCCATCCCCGAATTTAAATTATTTCAACGGCCCATCCAGACGAGTCACCAATCCATAGCGAAAGCCAAGCTAAAAAGAAAAAAGGCACACGCCAAAGCATCCCGACTGGCCCCATCTCCGGACTCCGCCCGCAGCTACCCGCAGCATCCTCAGCTTCACCATCCTGGTCGCCATCATCTACTGCGGTAAGTTCCACACCGCAATTGGCTTGATGACGCTAGTTAATTTGTATAAAAATTTGGCGATCTGGGTCACACGCACCAAGTTTTGTTGCGCTTGGGAGTAATAAATAAATGATTGAGGGGATCCCGTCAAAGGCGATTACTAGTGCTGACACAATCGCTGGCGCTGCTAAAAGTCGCTTATCCCTGTTCGGGCGATCTGGGTCTCATCTGTCTGTACTTCCCTCATGACTTTATCGTACAGCGTTCAACATCTGCCGTACAACAACATCAACACATACGACATTTCCCCCACCGCACCTTTGCATGCATGCGGCTTTTGTATGCGGTGATTCCAAATTCGTGTGCGTTCTGTGTTTTGTCGTACCCCCAGCCAACTCCTCGTCCTTTCTTTCCCCCCAACCCCAACCCCAACCCCCCAACCCCCCCCCCACAACCACCAACAGCTTTCATCTTCAAACCCCTGGCTTAAAACTCCCCATACAACTTCGCCACTGAAAAAACAACCTACTTCCCGGCGCTTGCAGCGCTCTACTTGGCAGTGGGTGAGAGTTTGCTGCCCGGTGGTAACGCCTGGTCAACATTGCTCATCTTCTTGGCATCGCATGTGGGCGGTGCAACCTGCGGACTGGTGGGTGCGTTACCTGTTAAGGTGGATTAACGATGGAAGAGGGCGGGGTTAAGGGGTATTTCCCGGCGGGTATGGGTTCTTGATGTGCGTGGCGTTGGAGAGGGAAGCTATTGTAACCGTTTGTACGGGAAAAAAAAAGTCGTCGGAAACAGGGGGTGGATGCGTTTTTTTGGGGTGGAGTGGGAGGGGTTGCGGTGGGGCTGTGTGTATGGGTGAATGGCTTCCTGGGGTGTATATATGGTCTCCGGTTGGGGTTTGTTGCACATTATTAGGAAATGGGATGCGGAAGGGGGGAGAAAGGCTCAAGGGGGGGGATTGAGAAGAGGATCTCAATGGGTCAGTGGGTCAGTGGGTCAGTGGGTCGGTCCGGACTCCTTTCACGTCGCCCCTCCTAATGTTTTGCATCGTTTGGCAAACCGGCGGTTGATCAATTTTCCCCTTCAATTT